ACGTAAGCCGTACTGACCTTGAGAAGGCGCACTAAGGCTGCGTGGCCGTGAAAGGCTGCCGTCATCAAGGGACGCAGCCCATGATGCGTGACCGCCTGTGCCGGTGCGAGCAGAGACAAAGCCGCTCTTGTGAAGCACGCACCGATTATAACCTATCATCCTACTAGCCATCCATCTCAACACCTATGCTGGCCTGAAAAAAAATTTGCTCGTGGCTCACCTCTGGATCAGCGCCAGCCTCCAATAAGAGCTGAAAGCTGGCGACATCGCCATTCTTAGCAGCCCAATGCAGTACCGTGTGGCCGTGGTGGTCGCGCTCAAGGACCGAACCGCGTCCTAAACAACATCATTCATGGAGCAAACACGCACAACATACACGAACATACACACCAAGACCCTTGAGCCCAGACGCCACATCTTGAAGCGATGTGGACGCAATCGCACGCACCCAGCTCCAGCAGCGTTTGCACCATCTCCAGACTACCCGAGGCTGCGCCCCACATGAGGGGCGTGCCTGTCCAGTCCTCGTCTAGACATGTGGGCCAAAAAAGTTAAAGTGCATAGACAGGTACCAACGTACCGCTTTCGACACAGGAACAATCCACTCGTCGTCCACCCAAAGCACAACACCTGGCTCTCCACACCTCTCAAGCCGCACATCCCACATTGTCAATGGAACGCCGGCCGCACCTAGCTCCTCCTCAAGCTTATGCAAGTATGAAGCGGCATCTAGCTCGCCATTGACCGCAGCGTGGGTAAGGGCTGACCAGCCTTGAAGACCGAGTGGAGCCTCCATGTCCACGTCTGCCTCATGCAGAACCTAAGTTCCCGCATCACCCCAAGTAAAGCAACCAGGTTGTGGCATGCACCGGACGTCAGCATCAATTTCCTAAAACAAGCCGTCCAGGAATGTTTGGGACTCACGCGGAGAACGTTCACCTGGCCCGTCTTGCTGGCGTGCAGAAGGGCAGATGTGCCACTGTGGCAGGTTTGCAGCGGATCGGCCCCACGCAACAACAGATACTGCGTGGCCCCATGCCCGTGCACATTCAAGGCGTCGTAAGGTTTGGTGAGACCATCAAGTTCAGCAGCAAGTGCTGGCACAAAGGTTTGAGAGGAATATCAAGCGCGTTTGCACCTTGATCATGGGAAGATTGCGATTGATCGCAGCGAGCACTATGGCTGGGCAACCAACGTGATCGCGCGCTTGCACCGTCACCCGTCTCGCCACCAGGAGTTGCTCGGCCTGTTCAAAGTTGTTTGTGCGGATGGCTCGAAACCACGCCTGGAGCGGAATCACGCAGCGTCGTAAGGCACGGCTTTTTACACGCGATGCATCGAGGGAAGCATCAACAGAAGCCTCCATAGGCCACTCACCTCCTCAGCAGCACCGGTCAGCTGAGGCGCGAATGTGAGTGCGGTGGACAAGCCCAAGGATTGCTCAAAGTACTATCACCATCGAACAAGCATGTGAGGCACGAGCTCAAGGGTGGCTTGGCCGCCATCCCTCAAGCGCGGATCCCTGGTCACGTACCGTGGCTACAGGGGAGTGATCGCCTGCTCGCATGGCGGCATGCATGGGGGTGGTCGTGCCATCGGCACATGGCTGCTTGGCTGAGAAGCCAGCTTCCATAAGGGCTTGCACGGAAGCCAGGTGACCCCGATACGCAGCTCCATAGAGAGGTGTGCAACCAGCCGCATCGCGCACGCTGGCTGCCCCTGGCAAGGCTAGAAGTAGGTCAAACAGTTCACCCGCACAAGAGATCCGACGGAATTGAGTACCGGCCATGCATACAAGCCTTTCTGACCAACCGAACAGACAACGCACTTCGTTGGCACAGCTTCAACATGTCGAGATGGCCAGTAGCTGCGGCCCAAAGATAGGCAAAGTCACCACGGCACGTCTTGGGCAGGGGTCGCGTCGGCCCAGAAGCAGCAACCATGAGCAGGCTGGGTCCAAAGCTCTGTGCCGCAAACAGAATGGCCAAGAGCAAGAGCCCGGCGGGCCGTGCACATGGCCACGCCATGGTTTTGGGAGGCTTGGTGGGGTGGGTCAACTACTTGAGAGAACAATGGGGCCCGCCTGAGCAGGGGTGTGAGTCACCGTGGTCGACTGTGCTGCAGCGAAGCCTACTCCCGCCGGTTTTAGTTGTATCTGCCCTTCCTGTCCTGGCGACATCAGGAGCATGGATGCCAGCCATTCCCTCATTTGCTCGTCCTTCCCTCCCTCACAACGAGCCATCGGATTCCTTTTCTCCACCTGTAACAAAATGCTACCCTCACCGTCCTCACCGCGCTATCCCCTCATTGAACGCCAAAGGGAAGGCTTTCAGGCTCTGCCTTACCACAGCAGCGCACCTACACGGAAAATCAAGTCGAGCCAGCCCTTGCTCTCTCCATGGACCTAGCCTCCGTTCACTGGGTGGGTGCAGCGGGTTGGATGCATGCAAGGCAATCAACATTGTCAGATTAATTAGACAAGCGCGAGCGTTGCTTGATGGCTGAACCAGTGTTGTTGTTGTTGCTTTTGAATTGATGGGACAGGGGCTAGTGGGCAGCGGCATGGGCCACTGTTGTCCAATGCGTGAGGAGGCCTCAAAGGGCAGATCATCAAGAGTGAATTGTCGCATCTGACTGATTAATGGGCTGTTCTGGGCCCGAGGGTGGATAACTTGACGTGAGAGCCGCTGACCCAACAACACATGGGCGACAGAACAGGCGAGGAGCGGCGCTCAGCGCCGGATCGCCTTGCTCGAAAAGCCTGGAGATAAAACACACCCAAGCAGGACGAGGCCAGAAGCACCAAATTAGATAAAAGCAGTGGTGGGGCAGAGAGAGCCAAAGTAACCAATACATGCCTTCGCCTTTGCGCTGTAACACAAACATACCGGACTTGGGCTTTGGCAGAGGCTCCACATCGAGCTTGTACAGCTCTGTCCCAAAGTTACAGCCCCGGTTGATTTTCAAAGATGCCATCATTGCGTTTGCGAGAACACCACCCAAGCAGCAAAAATAGACGAGGAGAGCAGGGACACGTGAGAGATAAGAGATCGAAATGAGGCGAGACACCTAGGGCATGGTAGGCGACCTAAATACCATATTTGTTATGTGACTTCTCTGCGCCGTGCAGATCGCGCTTGTAGGCTAAGGCAAAAGTGAGGAGAGCCGCGCGCGCGTCAGTCGTGTACCGGGCACTGCTGCCGACACTCCCACGACCCCCACAGGCAACCTGCATCACCGGTGCCTACACGCGGGGAGAGGGGAGCAAGAAAGGCACCATGTTCTTCTATCTACCCCTGGCTGGTTGCGCAAACACACGAGCCAAAAGCCATCGTACCTTTGCCCAAGTGAGCTTCAAGCTCTCCACGATTGAAGTTTTGCGTCGTGTTAGGAGGAACAACGAGGTCAGAAGGCAAGCCAGGCGGTGCCGATGAGGGCCCGGTCCGGCCTTGAGCTGCTTGTGCTGGCTTGCGTAGCCCTGCGGTGCATTCGTATCTGAGCAATTTACATTCTGTTCCACCAACCCAAGGAAAGCCATCAACGGCAAAGCCAGGTGGTCATACGTACCACCGGCCACAACGGCGGAACCCGATCCCTTGCTACCCCACGCCATGGCGTCGAGTTTGATAAGCACAAGCAGTCGCCCCAAGTGGCAAGCAAAAAAGCCAAACCCTGTTATCCAGATTTCCCGCAATTTGCGCAGCGGGTTCCAGTGGAGCAACTCGAGTGGCGCTGCCTGCCGCACACCAGCACCCAACAAGCCAGCCCCGATGAGCGCGCAACACTAAACCAGCTCTCTTTCCCAACCCTTGGTGGTCCTGGCAATTTCAAGCCAGCCGGCCAGCCCCGTTGACTTTACACAGCACAAAACTTTGCCAAGGACCTTGCAGACTCGGCGTACCCTGCTGCGTTTGACAGACAGACAGACAGGCACACAGACAGAAAGGCAGGCACACAGACAGACACCGACAGCGCGACCGACAGCGAGCACTGAGCGCACACACACAGACACACACAGAGCGCGCGGAACGTACTGATCTGATCTGGCAAAACGCTCTGAGATAATGTCAGCATTTTGTGTTTATAACACGTTGGTGTGTCGTGTTGCAATTTGCTTACCGCCAGAATTCAAATTCACCGATCAACAACGACTGACTTTTTTCTCTTTTTTTTTTTTTTCTTTTGGCTTGCTGTCCTTGCGGTTCGAATCGCTGCAGACGTTGTTGCGGACCGGCATTGCATCGACAAGGTCATTTTGGCGTGCTCGCGTACAGCTGGACTATCAGCAGAATGGTGGTGCAACAAAATGCTCCCACGCGTACGCCATTGGGCGAGCGAGCCGTGCCTCAGCGCAGCGTCATCCACGGCACGTCTACACCCAGCAAGGAGGGCTTTGGCGTGCGCCAAGCCATGAACACGCTCCGTACATTCTGCAGGTAAAGAAACATCCCCCTTTACCCTTGCATAGAATGAAGACGATGCCCAGTTTTGGCTGCAGTTCACCTGGCTTGCCTCACTCCACCCATGAAACACTCCCCGCGCCTGCGCCCATAATCTCAGCACAACCAGCCAGCACACCACGGGTGTACCTGTTGAAGGATGTGAGGGTCTTTTTCTCTCGTCTCTTGGCGCCGAGGATCAATTTGGTCTGCGAGTGGCCATCGGGGCTCCACACCAGCGCATCTTCCTGCTGCACGCATTTGACCCCGTGCTGTGTCCGACCGCTGAAGAGGAAGGAACCGACGAGCCTGCAGCCTCGGCGGCAAACGTCACCGCCCCTGCGACCATTCGTCAAGTCCTTATCAACCAGCACTCTCAAAATGAGCGCCAGACTTTTACCGGCCTGGTCTGTCGTGCTCACTCCCATGACACACATCTCCCTCCTTGCTCGTTTGTATCGTTGTTCGGATCAAGGCCGGCCTCTGCCCAACACTCACCCTGGCTGATCTCTTGGCCTACTCTCTTGTCTTGCATGTAAAACACAACGTACTGCGAATGATCTGACGGGATTGAAATCTCAGATTGCTGAGCGCCGTCGTGCTGGCATGCGTGAATATCGCCAGTTCCTTCATCCCTTGGCCGGGGTGCCTTTGTCCGAGGCGCGGTACGCTTGAGCAGCTCCCAGAACCCCTCACCCCCTTTCTCATAAACCCATGCCGCATTTTTTCAAATACGAGTCATGTCAACCTGTCCATGCCATGCATTGCCATTGTTCTTGCCAACTTGAGCTGGGATATCTCATCATTGGTTCTGATTTTAGGCTTTGGAACTCGGCTGCGTCGTTGGTCCACACCCAGCAGCCGCTGGACGGTAAAGCCCTGCCTCGATCGTGCTCTGCAGTTTTTTTCTTCCCAAGGCCAACCCTGATCTGAGAAAAAAAAATTTCAACCATAGGCATTTTCGTCGCCGCCATTCAGCACGCCAGCGTCCTCTTCCTATGCAACGATCTTACAGGCGAATCCGCTCGCCCCTACTCCGTGCGCCAAAAAGGTCGGTTTCTTGTTGATAATGAAGCTCTTTGATCTTCCCCAAGGTTTTCAATTCAGGCCCTTCTTGCATCCTCTATCTGCTTGCTTGGACGTTTTAGTACCCCGTGCCATTTCGGCCACCAAGCTCATGCCCATCAAGACGCTGTACCAAGACTATGTCCAACGCTACGAATCCTCTGATGCGCGCAAGACCACGGTTAGCCCTGTGCGACCAGGCTTACCCCGTTCCCTTACTCCAGCACCTCCTACGAGAGCCATCTCTCATCTTTTGGCCGGCAATCTGCAACCGGTGCAGATCAGTTTTGACGTTGGCTACACCATCTGTGGCACGGGTGTGGAAGTTGCTGCCGAGGTCAGCTGGAAACCAAACGCTTAGATCGCTCGGGCCGACCAAACTGACGAGACGTCCCCTTCTCACTCTCTTCCGTGGTGGTGTGCCCAATGCAGAGCGGCATCGAGGTGCAATACAGCTGGTCCACCGAGAGTCTTTCATTGGACAACAACGCCCCTTTCACTGCCGATACGCTATTGAAGATCCGTGAGTTGTTCGTGCAGGACCCAACGCATGTACCTTTCACACAGCCGGCTTTATTTACATGCACGGGACGAGATACTCATATTAAATATTGCCATTGAATCACTCTGTATCGGGACATGCTAGGCGCGTTGGCGGGCGACGTGCGCAGTGGCACTTACAAATTGTACCAGGACCTCGCCGTGCTCAAGCTTCTTCTCGAGGCAAAGCAAGGCACTGAGGCCCCAGGCTTCGATGCTGCACAGGTAGTACCTAATCGTTTTACCAGCCATTTAAGCAGTCGGGAGTCCCCGTACCTCGAGTCCTGAAGACGCTCGAGCCCCCAACCTCCCCCGTTCTCACAATGCCCATGCTCGTCTGCTTCTATTAGCCATGGGGCACTCAGGCATATGACTTGATGGACATGGTCAGTCGCGTCCTGCCTGAGTATGCCCACGCTAGCTACCATGGTCATCGCCTGTCCTGATGGTCCTGTGTCCGGCTGCAGGTTGAGGGCTTTGTGCAAAGTTTGGGCTCGGAGGAAACGACTGTACCCTACGTGAGTTGACACCCAATGTCCTCCGGCTCTCATCGATGCAGTATGAGGCACCGACACCTCCTCCGGCGCCAGCCCCACATTCAAGAGCGTGACTCGCAATAAATGCGCGCAACTCATTCACAAACTGGACTGCTACCTCTTAATCCATGCGTGCTAGTTTGTTCCACCGCGTGCAGCCGATGAGGATGATGAGACAAACATTGGTGCAACGATTCTGGCCGATCGGCCAGACCTCGACTTTACCGAGAAACTCTGGAACTTTGTAAAGCGTACGTTTTCGCGCCAAAACTTAAGCCTCGATGCTCCGATACCGCACGGTCTCGCGCAAAGTCTATTCATGTTGAACATCTGATGTACGCATTTGTGTGACCTGCTTTGCCAGATGCATCGAGCTACGACGAGCTACGCCAGGTGCTTGCTTTCATGCTGATGGCTGTTCGTCGCGGCCACGTCAACCACCCGATCCAGCGCGGAAACGAAACAACGGCAAGTGACATGTGCCCCACGCTTGTGCGGACTTGTTCTCCTCTTTTTGACATGCGATTCCGCTCGTGGCGGTCTATCGCGGTATGCTGGGCTCGATAGATTGCCGCCGTGGCTTTGGAGTGCATGCGTACTTTTCACTCTGCGGGCAATGCTGCCAATTTGGCAGCCATGATGCGAGATATTGGTTGGTTTTGATAGTAAGCGCCGTGCTTCCGCATGGGGCAGTCTCTCACGTGTGGTCTCTGGTGTTGGCTCTCTCGTAGCCACGCCAGCACGTCGCACGGCCGAATGTGCTGTTGAGCTGGGTATTTTCAAATTGCAGCGCGACTTTATGCATCATTTTATCGGTATGAACGGCCCATACGGTCGCAAGGGATGATGCTGGCCTTAAATTCTTGACAAACATCCCCCGTTCTTACTCGCTTCGGTGTCTGGGTAGGCTCGGAATTAGCCACGGGTGCACAGCTGGAGGAATTTTTTACGGCTGATCAAACGCAGGAACAGCAGGTTGAGGCCTTGACCAAGCTTCTCAATGTTTTGGAGGTCTACGTTTTGTGCAAGTCCTACCTCGACCTTCCTGTTATCACGCTCCGAGAAATTGTCACGTGAGTGCTGTCAAAAACAGCAGCGACGCGCGGGCGCAATCATGGAGTCTTGAAGTCAGCTGATTCATCTCGTTCTTGTTCACGCATGGATGCGGCTGGATATGATAGGGGTGCACTCGAGCACTTTCGCCATGCACCAGCCAGTGTCAACCCTCTGTACAAGGTGGCCATTGCCAACTTTTCGGCCGCTGCCTCACAGGTATACTGCTAATAACCGGATAATCATTGTTGATGCACAAGACTGAATGCTGACGAGGGTCTGAATCTCGATCCCGGATCGTCTAGTTGAAGCGCATTTGCCACGGAATGACCCCGACCACACGCATGGTCGTGTTTAGCGGACCCGGCCGTCCATCCCAAGCACATCTCTTCGTTAACGTGTTGGCCCCGGCGGAGATGATGGCTTTGCTTGGTAAGAAGCATCCTCTACCCGTCGGTTCAGGGAAGCCCGTCTTTGACCCTGTTGTATTGGTCGGTGGTTTTTGGTGTTTTTGTTGTAATTTCCTGTAATTTCTTGTATTTTTGAGATCATTTTTGCTCAACACGTCAATGCTTTCATTCTGGTGAACAGTCGCCTGATGAGGGCTGTGTATCTTGGATTGGCGTAACTTTGCTTAATGCTGAACATCTTTTGTTGTTTCTCTTGGTGGAAACTGTGCGCCAACAGGTACACCGCTTGATTCCATGGACGAAATGCCTATGGAGGAGGACGACCAGGCCAAATATTTCCACGTGGCGATCTACGAGTAATTCCGTCCTGGTGGCAAGTGGCAAGTGGCAAGTATGGGCCTAGGGGTTTTGGGTGTCCTCCGTGTGCATTGTGTGACGCAACCACGATACTTCAACAAGGCCAACACGACATGGAGCAGCTCTGATGCTGGCTTGAGAAAGACTCAAAAAAAAGAGACAAGATAAAGACATCAAGACAATGATATGAATGATATCCTCTGCCTTTCCTCGTGTGACGCGTTCATAGCTCAATCGATTGTACACAAGCTTCTGTTCTATTGCAAGATGGATTCTCAGAGTCCACTGGGCCGCGCAACCACGCGTTGTTGCTTCTTGGCACCAAAATCACGGCTCAAGCCCTGGCGACCTCGCGCCACCATTACCATGTCACCTGAAGTCACAGACAACAAGGCCAAGCAGAAAGGCGGGAGAGAGGAGCAGAGCGAGCGAGCGCATGTGTGAGGTGTGTGGTGGCTCACGGTATAGATTGAAGAAGACATTTCATAAAAGCGGTCGAGAGGGTGGACATACGGGAGCGGTTGACGTTGCTGCCACTTTTCATGGCGAGAAACTTGGCTGCGCTGCGACTAGGTTGACGAGCCGCAGGGCCATCATTGTTCAGAACTTGAACGGATAGATTGGTGCCAACCTTGCGGGTGATCTCACGCTGGTGGGTAGGCGGGCGGGCTACGCCAATTTCGAATCCAACACGAGAACGTGAGGGCATGTACATAGACAGGCACAGGGATGGTCGAAAGTGCAAACCTTGGCTCTGTTTGGCACGCTTCGGTCGGGGAACCTCGAAACCAGCCTCAATGTCTTCTACACAAGTGAGAATCAAGCAGGCAGAAACACACGACACCCCGAAATTGAGTGAGCCAAGTTGAGCTTTTGCTTGAGATGAGGTCTCAAGGAAGTCATGTCAAGTCACACAGACCGTCATCGGCCATGTCCATGTCTGGTTCTGTGGCATCTACGGGTGCTGTCTTTTCGAGCTCGGCAAAGGCTTGCTTCACATCACCATCCGGGGCCTTGGCCTTGGCCTTGAGAGCAGCCCTACAAAAGGGGACAAGGCGTGCATCGGGGTCGATGAGCACTGGTCTTGCTGTGGGGAGGGCCACGCGACACCGGGGCGGAACATACTTGCGCTCTTTGACGTGACGTTTGCCAGCGGCAGAGATTTTCGCAGCACGGCTAGCATCGGCGGCCGCAGAGGCTTCTTCGATGGCTTGCTGGGCTTCTAGGACTTGGGCACGGCTCGCCTTGAAGCTGATTTCCGCGGGGGCGGTGCGCTTGGCACTCTTCTTCGCATGCTGTGGTCGATTACTTTGCGGAGTGCTCTGCTTCTTCTGATGTGTTGGGGTCTTACGGTTCTTGGGGGTGGCGTGCTTCTTCTGGCTAGACTGGGGTGTGCTGCTCGTCTTGGGCGTCTGAGCGGGCGCGGTTTGACCAGCATCTGAAATGTTCGTGGCCGCGGGGCTGGTGGCAGTCTTCGAAGTTGTTTTTTGAGCAGAGGCCGTCTTGGAATCAGCAGTCTGGTTGTTCTGAGGAGTGAGTGCCTGCTTTGATCGAGGAGTTCTCGGGGTCTTTGGGGTCTTTGGGGTCTTTGGGGTCTTTGGGGTCTTTGGGGTCTTGGGGGTCTGAGCAGCGGCTCGAGTTTTCCGGCTGGGTGTGGGGGTGGCAGCAGCAGAGCCAGGCTTGGAACGACCTGCGCCACGTGGCGTGGAGTTACCCTGGCTTGCAGCAGCCCCCTTATCACCACCGGGCGACGTGGATTTGGCTGAGCGTAGCTGAACCATCTTTGCCGTCCAACCGCGAGCGTGAGCGAGAACGATGCGGAGAGAGAGAGAGAAAAAAAAGAGAGAGAGGGAGAGAGAGAGAGAGAGCGAGAGAGAGAGAGCACGCGGTCCAACAAACGCAAGGCGGGTGATTTTGTCTGACAATACAACACACGAAATCAGTGAGAGAGTGACGTTTTTTTTCGAGGCAAAGGCGGGCGGTGCGTCGGCAGTGGCGGGAGGTCTGCGGTGCTGGCGGGTGCTGGCGGGTTTGGGGGGGGGGGGGGGGGGGGGGGGGGTTAAAC